AGAGAGAGAGAGAGAGAGAGAGAGAGAGAGAGAGAGAGAGAGAGAGAGAGAGAGAGAGAGAGAGAGAGAGAGAGAGAGAGAGAGAGAGAGAGAGAGAGAGAGAGAGAGAGAGAGAGAGAGAGAGAGAGAGAGAGAGAGAGAGAGAGAGAGAGAGAGAGAGAGAGAGAGAGAGAGAGAGAGAGAGAGAGAGAGAGAGAGAGAGAGAGAGAGAGAGAGAGAGAGAGAGAGAGAGAGAGAGAGAGAGAGAGAGGAGAGAGAGAGAGAGAGAGAGAGAGAGAGAGAGAGAGAGAGAGAGAGAGAGAGAGAGAGAGAGAGAGAGAGAGAGAGAGAGAGAGAGAGAGAGAGAGAGAGAGAGAGAGAGAGAGAGAGAGAGAGAGAGAGAGAGAGAGAGAGAGAGAGAGAGAGAGAGAGAGAGAGAGAGAGAGAGAGAGAGAGAGAGAGAGAGAGAGAGAGAGAGAGAGAGAGAGAGAGAGAGAGAGAGAGAGAGAGAGAGAGAGAGAGAGAGAGATAGAGAGAGAGAGAGAGAGTAGATAATAGAGAGAGATAGAGATAGAGAGAGAGAGAGAGAGAGAGACAGAGAGGAGAGAGAGAGAGAGAGGAGAGAGAGAGAGAGAGAGAGAGAGTGAGAAGAGTAAGAGAGGAAGGAGCGAGAGGAGAGAGAAGAGAGAGAGAGAGGCGAGCTCGAGAGTTTGAGAGAGAGAGAGCGAGAGAGAGACGCCGACGAGAGTCGCAGCGCGATCGAGATGGAGGAGAGGAGAGAGAGAGTAGGAGAATAGAGAGAGAGAGAGAGATGAGAGAGAGAGAGAGAGAGAGAAGGAGAGAGAGCGAGAGAAAGAGGAGAGGAGAGAGAGAGAGATGTGACTGGATGGAACTGGATGGGGTGGGACGGGAGCGGGTGGGATCGTGTGGGACCAGATACGACCAGATGAGACGGGACCGGACCGAAAAGAGCGGCTCCAGGTGGGACCACGCGAGGTCGGACGCAGACAGCATCGGGCGTCAACGGACGAGGTCGAAAGGAACCGGACGTAACAGAAGGGGACCAGACGGGTCCAGACAAAGCCTGATGGAACCGGATGGAACTGGACGAGATCAGACGGGACTGGACGGAGCGTGATGCTATCAGCCGGGGCAGGATGAGACCAGACAAATTTTAAGGAAGCCTTTGCTACTTAAGGGTCTTAGTAAGACCCCGAAATGACAGTATTAACTGTTTCGTAACATCACCTGACTATCGTGCAGGCGGCGCCGCGCGGCACCCATATCCCCGGCGTATGACGTTAGGGGTATGGAGCGGGGTACGCAGGGTGGCCGCAAGACACCGGACGGTGTATGTTGTGCAGCTGTGTCAGCAGTGAATCTGCGTGTGCATTATGAAATCCTGAAAACGGGGTTGACCTGTTCCAGACACAAAACTATGGTGCTTGACATGAGCGAGGAAGGCCTTAAGCTTCTGGTTATTCGGCCAGGGGTGTGGTTTCGCAAAATGAGTTGAAAGAGGGAGAGGGGAAGCAAACCAAGGAAAATCACGCAACAAACCTTCAAAAGACCATCTAATTGATTTGTCACCGGATTCCACCCACTTTCCTCCCAAACACCGTCAACTGAAAAGGAAACTATACCCCTGTGTTCTGTGCTTTGAGTTCAGTGCTCCCGTGCAGAGTTATCAATGATGATATTTACGATGATCGAGGAAATGGTGCATTACATGATATACACATTGCGGCAACGTGCACGTCCCCATACCCATGTCGTCCTGTTTTACGATCACGATACCTGACAATGAAAATGATGATGATGATGACGATGATGATGGTGATGATGATGATGATGATGATGATGATGCTGATGATGACGATAGTGGTGGTGGTGGTGGTGGTGGTGGTGATGGTAATGATGACGAAATTTTCGCGAACCCACGTTTTGCTTATATTGAAACTGATATCCGTCCCGATGGTTCAGTTAGTTAGAGCGCCTGCCCTCCGATTCACCCATCCGTGGCGGGATGAGTTCGAGTCGCTTTAGCCGCTCGCCATTTGGCCTTGTCAGGTATGGCCCGCGGCCGGTGGCAGCGGCCGCGATAAACGTCAGAAGACGTCAGAGGGCAGGATGTACCGTGCAGAGCATCGCGGTTCGTTAAGCTTTCGCCACCAAACTCTTCTGTTGACATGGAATAGCGCGATCAGATGGACGGCGTCAGGGCTTACACAGCAAGCACCGCTTAATGTGAGCTCTGATCTCAGAGGTCTATCTATTCAGAAGGTTTGGATTAAATCTGAAAAAGTCATAGGTTGTTATGCGTTGTCGTGGGTTTACTATAAGTACAGGTGATAAGTGTTGACCCATGTTCGTGTTACTCACCAGTGCGGCGGCGCGGTGCATCTAATTTCGGCAGCCTCGTTAGCTGTGGCACACATATCGCTTATACATTGCTGGGGCTACATTTCCCACAGAATACAAATGTTTACATGTGTCTTGCTCCCTCGTTACAGTCTACAAATGCAACCAAACATTTTGTTATTTTCACTTCTATGACACACAGTGGAGTTATACTTTCCAGAGAGTTAACCTCATATTTCGCCATTCGCATATTTCGCCAGACGCTATTCGATGCCAAGCTTTAAAATTGGACTGCCTTTGCTTCAATCGGCTACCATTACCAATGCCTAAATATTCACGTGTTGCGATGCACTTTGAGTCATTATAAATCACAATAAGACTTCCTGTGAAAGGTATCGCTTTCGGCTTGAACTACGCACGACATGCAAATTCAGCGACTAACAATTTAAAAAAAAAAATTGGCCATTCCTATCAATTATGCTGCCTGATATTGAAGGTATTAGTAGCCTTTGTACTACATCTGACCGATTTTTTCGCACTGCTTCATCCCAAAATGATCAAATTTCCCCAGCCAATGTGAAAACCGCACTCCATGTACCTACCTACTTCGTCTAGCCGTCCACGCTTGCCCCGAGGAAGACAGTTTTCGTATCAGAATTAACAAAAACAAGACTCAAAATTACGGACCCAAGGCAAGAGCATTGGGAAGGGGGACGGGGGAGGGGGGGGGGGGGCGGAGAAACTATCGTGCCATGTTACGGACTCAGACTCATATTCGGGTCGATAATCGCCCAACAACGGACTTCCGAATGACCTGAAAATCTACATACAAATGTGACGTGACCTATTGCTCGCAATGGGTGAAAAAACTGAAATTGGTACGAAGACACCCGCGGATTTTTCCTTGTCACCAATTAATGAAGTTGTAACCGATGTAGGGTCATATCAGTTAAATCAAACTGCTTCTACTTTCACAAAAATGTTCGTAAAACGAGATTTTGATCTCAACACGATAAGCAAAAAAGCTGAGACAGACAGAAACTGGTGTGGCCCATATCAGGCCAGAGTCGCAAATATCGATCGACATACAAATCTGAATCCGCTGTCGATTTGACAAACGCATGTAGAGTGGTCTGCTCTTGACAAAATCCTGGATCCGCCCCTAGGTCAGTGACACTGGCAGATGCCTATACCAACAATCGTCCCTTCCACATGGAGCGTGGGATGGTAATGGTAATTTGAGTCTGAACATGACAATGCAGAATAGAACAAAGTGGCGCGCAGTTTATAGAGCGCCGATAATGTGTCATGCTGACAAGAACCCGTAAAGTAGCCAGCTTCTATCAAATAAAGTGTTGTCTCAATCTCACTAAGACATTTACAAACGTAAAGGAACAATGAAGCAAACGAAAAACCAACAACAAAAGTTGCCCTGCATTTCTTTACGAAAAAAATATTTTTACTAGGACTTACCGCGACAAAATAGCTCGATTTTGTGCTTGAAAATTTTCAGATTCGCCGAACCAAAGTTGGAGAGGTGCAACACCCCCAGTCCAAAAGCTGCGGAGCAAGCGCCCCCTGTCCCCCCCCTCCGGTTTCTGCCCCTTTGAGTTTGTGGGGGTTGACACAACTCCGACCGCAGTTCACGTAGTTTTTAAAAAAAAAAACCAAGTCCACACTGAATCGCGAGAAATTTTGCAGACTCGAAATCAGGTCCGACTCAACGTGCCGTCAACCTTAAGTCTTCATGTCACGGCAGGCGTTCGAGTGAAGCGTAGATGAAGACGTCTGCACGCTGCAGCTGCATCCGATTCTGTGTGTGCAGGCTGCAATATATCGCCTCAAAGAAGCCATTAGCAATGTTCCTATGGGAAGTCAGCATCATATTTCCACATTTTTACAGACATTTTACGATGCGAAAGACGTTCGCTATATTCGCAAATATTTTTGCTATCACTAATTTATATACACCGCATTCAGTTAGATATCATGACTTTAGGTTTTGACAGCTACAAGACCGAGGAACCGCCATCTCCTGCGGGCTTTTTATGCCTGCAAAGGTAATGCTCATTACAAGCAATGGCCTTTCTCACCATGGCCTATTCGCTCCTTTCCGCCAAAACACGCCCTCCAATATACACGTCAAAAAGAAGGGGTCTTCCTTTTTTATCACGACCACGGATGTCAAAATTCTTCTAAAAGAGTGCTGACCGATAGAGGAAATTCCTGGCAGGCGTCTGGAAAGCTGAGTGAAGGTATATCCAATATTCGGCTAATCACCTCGATAATCGCTGGTTTTGTAAATCAGCGAGCATGTGAATTACGTCAGATGAGAATGTGTAATTGGCTTCGGGTAACCATACCAAATCAGCTCAGACGGAGCAAAAACGACCCAGTCATGTACCCACTTTACCTGTAGAACACACTTTGCTATGATCACAGGTTTACCAGAGCAGTTAAACTTTCTGGTAGGTAATCCACTCTGTTTGCCACGGAAATGGTCATGATTGTAGTTCAAGACAGACCGCAGCCTTAGCAGTAAGCATCAATGTCAAATATTCGAGCAGTGTGATACATTCTTTCTGGGGGTTTCCTGAACAACAAGAAGTTCATGCATGCCAAAGATTTTTCCGCCAATATAATCGTTTTAATAAATCTGAGAATGACATGTGGAAAATTACGCGTCAGATAAATACAAGCAGTGATTTCAATAAGTTATCTCATCGATAGTAGCAGGTGTTTTCAACTAAATCACAGCGTATGAACCTCGTTTTCAACAATGTCGGTGAGTCCGGCTCGTCGACGCCTCATGTTAGATCTTAAGCGACTTCAGATGGAACCTCCCGATGGTGTTAGCGCATCGCCAGTCGGTGACGATTTTATGATTTGGGACGCTATTATATTTGGTCCCACCGACACGCCATTTGAAGACGGGACATTCCGCCTGAAGCTCCAATTCACCGAAGAATACCCACACAAACCGCCTGATGTGCGATTTATGTCTAAACTGTTCCACCCAAATGTCTACGCCGATGGGTCCATATGCTTGGATATTTTGCAAGGCCGATGGAGTCCGGTATATGATGTTGGATCAATCCTGACATCTATTCAATCCCTGCTGAACGAGCCGAATCCGAACTCCCCTGCAAACGCTTACGCTGCGCAGCTGTACCAGACAGACAAAAAGGAGTACGCACGCCATGTTCAAGCCATGGTTACCAGTTCCTGGAGATCACTAGAAGACGACCAAGAAGGCACTAGCTATCAGGAGACAGCGGATCTTGATTCAGGACGGGAATCAGATCTGGAAGAGGTGACATAACGGCAATATTACCATTTCTTCACGCTGGATTCGTAATCGCAATGTCCCCTAGTGATAAGGTTTATCAAATTGTGTCCAGTTTTTTAGCGATTGACGATTTTTCGACCAATCATGGTGTTTGTTCCAGACCTTTGGCGTTGATTGTATTGCTGCATATTTTTGAGTGATATCTTTTGGGTAATATATGGAAGCATTCTCCACATTTGTCAAGCTATCACGCCAATAAATCTAAATACCACGATGTTATCTCATCCGCATCTTTATGATACCCAGCTGTCGGCGCCTTGCTGTTTTCTCCGCATACGCCAGGAGCGAGAAACGCCTTGTACAAAAATATGTGTATTCTGTGCCTTTCACCGAAGTATCACGTCTACCCCTTAAATATTGGAGTACAGAATAAACCATAACGACGGTGAACAACAGTCACACGCGTCCCTCATCCCGGTATCCTTTGCTGCGAGATGAATCGATCCAGTCCAGAAAATGCATTACGATATAACAACAGAGCGATGACGCGGCCGCTAACGGGGTGCGCTTGGCGGCCACAGCACTGCTTGGTAACGAAGTCAAACAGACGACTCAAGCGGGTACATCATGCTCTTTGCATTGACAGTCACCGCTGTTGCCAAGTTAACACAATGACGGGAGTGATGAGGTAAAGCGGCGTGTGTCCAACAAAACTGCTGGACGCTGGTGGTGTGACGATTCCAAGGCAACGTATCAGATGACAAAAGTCAAAAGCCACTCTCAACGGCATTTTAAGACGTTCGCTGCAGTACAGCGATACTGACGGAACAAAGAGTCGCTCCCATTTGGACGACATATGGGTGTTGTAGGTGCCGTGTGCATACATGCGATGCCGGCCTCCATCAACGCAACATAAGCTTTGCGTATATTTCTCTGACAGGGACGTGCAACTGTTCGCGCCAGACATAACTCGCCCCTATGACGCGTTGAGTTTTGGTTTCCCTACCAATAATGCCTTCATAATTCGTATGCATGTTGCAATTTTTGCCATCAGTTTTGGTTCGGGTCTACAAGCCAACAGGGTACAAATGAAAATAAGCAGTTTCTTGCATCTATGTCATGGAGCTTAATACTGTACGTTATAGTTACTTTTCCATTTGGTTTCCTTTGCGAACCATAGAAAAGATGATACCAGGGCGGAAATGTGGCTGCACAAACACACCACAAGTAGTGAATGGATTTCCTGTACTCATTAGTATACGTACTTCCTGATCTGATAAATATTTGTGTACAATGTATAACTCTTTCGGCGCAAAGCACGTGCGAGGCATAGCATATCGCGAATAAGCCGCATCGGTGCATACACATGTACAATTGGATCCGATTCTGTGATATGGCAAAACATAACAATGACTCCAGGCCTTGTCCTTCCGTGATATGATAAGACGTAATAATGCCAGCTCCATAAGAAATTTTCGCCGTTACCTGACTAGGCTACCGTCGCCACACGCAGATACCATGGCTTTGCGTGTGTGGGTGCTTGACAGGTCATACAACCATACCGTTACCACCAGCCCACAGGTCCATTGGACACAGGCGTCCCGTCAACGCATAATTGCACACAGGCCCAGAAGAAACGGTTCTATCGCAAGCAGTCCAAAAGCCAACAAATCTCTGCTAACATAAATGAAAAAGGAAAGGGAAAGATCAGTGCCGAAAAGCTGAAAGGGAAATGCGCTTTAAATTTTAAAGACTTTTTGGTTATTCTTAAGACTTTTTGATAGATACCTTTGTGAGTGCGACCCACTGCCCCTGAGATTCTCAGGTTGCTAACAGCTGCAGTATAGCTAACGCTAGCTTGGACGGAGATGCTAACTCTGAAGACAAGGTTGCGCCCAGCATGCAGGATCAGTTGAAGACCATGGAGCATTTCTGACACGGGATATGTGTCAAGTCGTTTGATTTTGTTGACACCTGCAGCAATGGATATGATCACCGGTAAAATTAGTTCAGAGCTTCCTGTAAGCTGTACGCATAACACGTGACTTGTCCGAGTTTGCGACGCGGTAAATCGCAGAAACCATCACAATTCTCAGAGGCCTTCAACACGAAAGCGCTTCCAAGATATGAACCAGCTCGTTCGGAATGTTCACGACTCTGCGCACTATAAGCACTGTCTGAACAAGATCTCAACTAGCGTCGAGAAAAGAGTGCGCCTCGGGCGGGGCTACCTGGGGCCCTGAGAATGCCTAACATGATGACACACTTGAAAGAATGGCCACGATATGACAGAGAGCGAGAGAACTCCTGATTACACCGCTTCAAGTATAGCGTGCGTGTCTTCGGAGAAATTGAACCAACACACATATGAACAAGGACACTATTTGGAGGAATGCAACGGCGGAATAGTGCGTTGAAATATTCAGAAAGCCGTTCCCGTCAAAAACCACTGACAGCAGCGTTATCCACAAGGGACCCCGGACAGAGGAAGGGAAAGCCAGCAGCTCCCCACTCTTCCACACGCACTAACGATCGGACAGCCACAAGCCCTTCCACTTCGCAGGTACGTCAGACGGCAAGCCACCTCATGAGACGTCCCATATCAGGGGCGGCGCAGGGCCAGCGTCGCTGGGAGGACGGCCGACCGTGGCAGAGGCGGCGCCAGGTCGACTGGGGGGTGGGGTCAGAGGCGTCGCCCGACCCCGGCGGGTGAGCACAAGCGTCGCCAGTGCGGGAGGCGCTGCCCAGCCCCGGCCGGCGGTCAGACGAGCGTCTCGCGGCGTCAGGCGGGCAGACGCCCGCCGTCCGCACGTCACAAGGCAGTGCGCGCCGCCTCCTCCTCCCCGGCGACGTGCACCACTGTTTGGGCCGGCTCGACAGGCTCGTCCTTCTCCTCCTCGCCGCCGCCCTGCAGCGGAGAGACGGTCGCCGGTGCGTCAGCGCTGGCTCAGCAGGCGCAGTCCGGGCACGCGATCCGCCAGAGCAAGACCGACCGAGCGAACGAGCCCACAGAAGGAGAACAAGCGCAGATCGACGCGGCACGCAATATGCACAGCCCGCCGCACTATGGCACAGAGCTGACCAGTGACAACGAACGCCAGGCTGAAAAAGCCGCGCAAATACAGTCACCCATGCTGAGCAATTTCATCGTCCACCTCCGGACGACACTTTGGTAAATTCATTCTAGACCCCGCGGGCCACAAACGGCTGGCGGCTTTTCAGACCGGTAGTTTAACGATTCCCGCTCAAGTCATGCTGTGGACGTCACAGCCGAATGGTTCAATTTCCCCTGGATTCAGTCCAAGCATTCGGGGTTCACATTCGCTCTCGGGTCCTCGTCGTAGGCCTGCCGGCAACGCGACCGCAACACTTCTGACCGATGTTGACCCACGGCCGGCGGCATCCGACCACAATAGGTTGTCACGGCTTTACGCATTTGTGTTAGTGCGTGCGCGCGCGTGCCTTTGTGCTGTCGCTCGTGCGCCCTCTCCTCCCCTCTCTGCGCCCTGCTTTCTCACTGAACCGTGGGTAGTAGGGATACGTGCGCCGCTGTGCGCCGCTATGCAAAGCACGTCCGAAGGACGTGTTATGACTATGATTAATAGAAACGGCGTAGACGCAAGCCACCGTGCAACAAGAATGACACTACTAACGGATAAAATAATACAAATCTAGACCACACAAAAGTGGACCCTTGAGCGTGCTTCGCCGCACGCTGCAGCGTTGCTGCTCGCCACCCTTGCTCACCGTAGCGACGGCGCTAGCGTCGGCCAGCGCCTGCTTGGCCAGATAACGCTCCCGCTTGATCTTGAGGTTCAGGCTCTCGGGCACGTCCGGCACCACCAGGTCGATCATCTTGCAGATGAAAAAGACGACGTGCTCGAAGAGGATGACGAAGCCGAGCCGCACGGCTAGCAGGCGCCAGTAGAAGGTGGTGAACTTGCCGTTCTCGTCGCGAAAGCCGCGGTACCTGCGGACAGCACGGGCAGCGTGTTGTCGCCAATCGCGCACCGCAGCTGAGTATATTCTAAGCATTCAAGAGTTATGAGAGCAACTTCGGCATACACCTCTGAACATGGTCGGCGGTGAAAAATACTGTAATGCAACTCTAGAAGCGTCAACACAGACTTCCAGTCAACTTGAAGTTCAATTTCCATTCATTATATCGAATTCGATGCATCATATCGAATTTGGAAACACTATTCAAACCATGCACATATGATCGGCGCAAAAGTAGCAGCCCAAACGTCTTTCCCAATTGCAAATACCGGATCTAAATGTCTTTCCCAACTAACAACGTTTCCTACATCCCGAAGTCCCCAGTGGCCCATCGCAGGAAGAATAAGCACACGTTTTAAACAACAGTGCTTCATTTCAGCAGTGCTTTCAAACAACACATTTTAAACAACAGTGCTTCATTTCAGAACTTTATTTCAACCAAAATGCTTCACTTTCCAAAACATCATGTCCTGCTTCCACAATATTTTAACACCGCAAGTGGGCTTCTTAAATGCAGCACAATAAATACTTCGCACCAAGCGTCAGATTCCGTGCCTCACCATTCCACCACAGTGATGCAGCCTGGAGCCGTCATTAGTGCTATGGGCTGTTTTAAGCAAAAGTCATTCGACGCGCCGGCCAGTGCATGTCACGAAACCGCGACGTTTTTGGACGAAGGTCATACCGTTGGCATTTTGAGCCCCAGTTCTGCAAACGGTCGTGTTTGACAGCTGCTTAATTCGACTACGGCACATTCCTGGCTGCAAATCTTATCACGGTGATACTGCTTCAGCGGCAAAGACAAACAGGAGGTTGGCGAAATACAATCCACACGCAACCTGTGCCCGAGGAAAACATGTAGCTTAGTTCATGTCATCACAGTTGCATGCCTGATATGACTCCTCAGTCACGGGTGATCCTCGGAAACGTCTGACTTTGCCTTTCGACCTTTGACCCATTTGACCTTTGCCCGTGGCTGACCTGCAATCCCCTGGCACGGAAGGGTCGGTGCTGTTCGGGGCGTAGGCCATGGTGAAGTTGACGTAACCCTCCAGGTGCCAATGCATTTCGTACTGATATAACATCTTGGGCAAAAACTCCGACGTGAACGCGATCAAAAATGCCTGGAACGCGAATGCGAGATGCATTAAGTACCATGCTGCAAATCATTCACACCCGCACAACACATCTATTCTTGTCACATGTGCTCTTGACAATGTGAAAACAGCGTTGGTCTTTTTGTTTCAAACCCTACATACTTTTAGCCCCATCTCCATTCCAATATCTAAAGCTCGCCCTTTTCTATACTAACAGCATTCCATTTAAAAATCGCAAATGCAGGACCGGCGATGAAAGAAAAGAGCATGTAGGTAAGCGCAATTAATGATGGAGATAGCGTGCACACATGAAAACCACACCTATGGCATTGAGCAGAATAAAGCCTCCTTCCGTTATCACAAAACCTGGTGGTCATTCCATACGAAAACTCCCATCCATCTAGACTTTGTTTGCCCGCCATTGTGTTCGCAGCGATGGGATCCCCTCCCCCCCCCCCCAAAAAAAAACAGCGTGATTGGTGTGGACAAATAACGACGGCTCATTGGGGAAATGGTCTTGCAGACAAGCGTAGCGGTCTCTATTTATCAAAGCGTTTTCCCCATGATTGTAGGCGATTGATGAATCCCTATTGTATGCTTGACACGGTGCTATCTCCGTCATCAACATGGGTGGGAGACAGCGGGGGAGAGGGAGAGAGAGAGGGAGAGAGAGAGAGGGGGGAGAGAGAGAAAGAGAGAGAGAGGGGAGAGAGGGAGAGAGAGAGGGAGAGAGAGGGAGAGAGGAGAGAGAGAGAGAGAGAGAGAGAGAGAGAGAGAAGAGAGAGGGAGGGGAGAGAGAGAGAGAGAGGGGGGGGGGGGGGGAGAGAGAGAGAGAGAGAGAGAGCTCAAGCGACAGGGGGCCTGAGCGAGCGACAGTGCCACACTCACGTTGCTGATGACGGCAAGGTGGGCCAGCGTCTCGAGAATAGTGAACCAGATGCCGATATTGGCACACCTCTCTGGCACCGGCCGGCGCGTCTCGCAGAGGAACTTCTGCGCGTCCAGTCGGATCTCCACCCAGTTGTTCAGCAGAGCGAACAGCGGGGCCAGCGGAAACGCCGCCACGAAGATTGTGATGAAGCCGAACTGCAGCACTGAGATTGGGCGCCAGCTATTGATGGGACTAGTATATCATGAGAGGTGCAAACAACCATGCCTGCTATTATTCTTAAATATGGCGGGGAGTTTGCTAGCATTGCACTTTGCTGTTTCGGAGCACGCAATGCATTATAACAGCAAACACAAAATAAGTAAAATGAAATGCATTTTCGGGCCAACACATCTGAAACGTCATCATTGATGGAATGATGTCAAAAGGTGTCATAACGAAACCGCCCAGAGAACGCGTGCCCATATTCTTGCAGCCGTTTCATTTGTGTTTGCATATGTTGTCGGGTTTTTGCATAACGCATGCAATTCTTTGAAGCGTTCTTAAAATACTTTCAGTCTTGCATACATATGTGCACAAATATTCACGTACCGATCAACGTATTTCGAATGACAAATGCTTCTCGAATACCAGAATTGAATTCGAGAACCTTTTAAATAATTTGTCTGACCTGAAGCAATTGATGGAAATAAATCTAAATAATATATGCATTATTAATAAAGAGATGGTTGGAATGTAAGCTCATCATTGAGATAACACCGCATAAATGTTATCTGTATCGAGTTTTTCTTTGCGAAGGAAACACTTCGCAAATCGCCACGGAACACGAGCGATTACCGCAGTCACATCAGCACTCAGGGACCCCGGTATACCCGGAATGATCGCCACCATATTGCATTGAAAAGAAAACACAGCGACGAAAAATCTTCCAGACAGCATCCCTGAAAAATCGCAGCCTCCAGCCCCTGCAAAGGCCACACTCACCCATCTCCAGATACTCCTGGAAGAGTCCCTCAGAGTCGATCAGCTGGTAGTCCTCCTCCCATCGGGTCTTGCTACTGGCACTAATGGTGCCCTTCACCTGGCGGTTCTGCCAGCGTGCCTTCAGCTTCGGCAGAATGATCTCCTGCGCGTTGTTCACCATCTGCTTGCCGATCATGATGACCGCCAGTTGCTGCGCCAGCTCCACCAGGCAGCCGCCAGCGGCGCACTGCCGATAACCAGGGTCCCAGCTATCACCGCACGCCTCAGGAGAGGCTTCGGGGGTGCCGCTGCCCCCGCAGTGGCCGACAGAGTTATGCACGATAACAGCCGCCACGGCAAGCGTATCGTGGCGGCCCAAATAATCTGAGGTCGCGACTTGGAACGGGCCAGCGTAGACGGACACCCCGCCTAAGCTCACACCACTTCCATATGAAGCACACACGCAATGCCCAACGACACTTTGGCTTGGCGTGAGTAACAATTTCTATTGATTGTTTGTCAGATGGTACGCTATGGCTGGACAACAACATCTACTGGAGGTAGCAGAGCCCAATCGATCCAAGTTGACATACATTTTGACATCCTCGTTTCCCTCTCATAAAACATCCGAGAGATGGCGCTCATGTCTTGGCTAGTCTCATGAAAGCAAAGATAACCATGTCTTAGGGAAATTCCATCACACCAGCCATAACTGTTAAGAATCCTACCATTATGTTGAAGGTTGAGCACCAAGATCAGGTCAGGCAATGGTCATGCACGGCGCCAAGTCACCTCATATGAAATAAGTCTTATTTTTTGCTCTTCCATTTCACATAACGTACAAAATTAATTGATTTTGGAAAGTGAGTCAATACAGACTTTAAAAATGGCCGCAACAAATCGCTGTTGCCCGACGCTTATAAATTGACCTCACATGAGCCCTCATGGTGATTCGGCGTGACCTCGTATAATGTGAGCGGTCCTGGCTGTAAGTCACCCAGGTAAAGGATTACAACAAAACAGTCCAAACGGCAAAAAAGGAAACAGTGACTTACTGGCACACGGAGGCAAAAATTGCTCTGAAAGCATTCCTTGATGTCGTCACAACCTAGTAGCCTGACCCAACATCGGAAATTTTTCCTTAGGTTGTGTCAAATTGAGTACCTTTCATGCAAGGATTATTTAACGGCCCGGCCATCAGTGGTTTAGATGACATTTCCGAAGAACAGGAAGTGAGAGGGCTTTTCAGCTATTGGGTTGAAGTTTAGCACATTTAATCACATGTCGACACCAGCAGCGCGTTCGAGATACAACAAGACCTTAGCCAAGTTTTCCGGCATGCCGATCAAAAGCTGCAGGTTCGTAAACCACGTGACCACTCGGGCGAATGACCAAAACGCGCCGGGGTGCGCTAGCTGAAGCCAAAAACATCCGAAATGTGTTGATCGCAGTGCCACAGCAGAAATATTGTTGCCACCAAATTATGAAAAACTCTCATTTGCTTGTGTACGTGGCCGGTGTTCAGCGTGCCTGCTTCCACTCAGGTGGAGCTTTTTCGAATTAGACGATTGCCAGTAGCGCTAATTCGATACTCTTCGGTAGTGTACATTGGACAGAATATCACTAGAACGACACCCTACATTACTAATCTGCCTATTTCATCCTGGTCTGCAGCACTTTTCCATAGCATTAGAAATATATGTGTCAGCTCGACCAGGCACACAATCCACAGTCCAGCTCATCCTGCAGCACCGAACTGGTACCGTCCTGGCAGAGCAACGGGAAACGGGACCCCACTGACCTCCACTAGGACTAGATGAGCGCGTACAGACACGGTCCGACACGCACGTACGCCGGCATACAGGCGCCCGGAGCCGGCGCCGCGCACGCCCACTCACGTCCTCGTTCCGGAGCCCGAGGATGTGATTGTAGTGGCCCGGGTATCCCACGAATCGGCCCTTGAAAAAGGCGATGTAGAATATCGACGAGTAGAAATTGATGAATTGGAAGACGAACACTTTGAAGGTCAGGTTATCTTCGAACTCGCTCTGCGTTCGATGCATTTCTGTGAACGGCAAACACAGCGATTATTAGCCCTGGAGTGGAGCTGAGCCGAATTTGCCGCTTCACTGGGCAGGCAGATCAACAGAAGAATTAGGGCGGAATCGGCGACGTGGCCGTAAGCTAGCAAATACCACCTGCTCCCATGACTGCTCCACCCGCTGGCAAATGGCCAGCTGACGACTGAGTGTGGGGATTATTGTTGTGACGGTACGCCGACAGCCCCCCCCCCCACACACACTTTATGTCACGTGCTGAGGCTGTGTCGGAAGGGGACAACGAAGAACCAAAGCCTGGATGGCCCCGCAGGAAAACAAGCGGGATCAAGAAGACGACACAGGGACAATGCCTGGATGGGAGGGATGCCATTCTAGGGTATTTCTGCAGCTGAAGCCAATGCAAACCAGTGCAGCTTAAGGCCAACGTTCACTGACGCAGTCATCTTCCGTCAACAGAAATGTAGATTGGCAACCATAGACAACTAATCAACTGTTAAACACGACAACACAAACTTTTCGCAGTGCAACAATCGCTTCAGGACAGATCCGCGCTAAAAATTAAAACACCCAAGCCCTACAGCTTCACTGTCGGTTTCGTCGCAGCTCTGGGGAGTTAACTGGGGATGGTGTTTTCATCTCTATACAGACGCCCGACGGTTCGACCCCCGCGGTTGCAGCATCGACCGCTAAACCCTGATGTGATCATAGCAAAACAGTTTAACTCCGCAAAAGTCTGCGGGTCGACCGGCCCAGCCCAAACCGCGCACATTAAGACATTACTAATGCCTGGGTGAGGAGCGCAGTCGGACCGACAGCAGGGGGAGGGGGGGGGGGATTACCCACCCCAGACGGTGAGTCGGTAGGCCAGCTTCTCGTACACGCGGCCCATGCACATGATGAGGATCAGGTTGACGACGGCGCCCGAGAGTGACGAAATGGCTTGCGCCTGCGATCGGAACGTCGGGTTCTGGAAGAGCGGGATCGACACCAGCACCCGGTAGATGATGACGGCCACGATGAAGATGAGGACCAACGACATCTGCCGGAGGAATCGCCAGCGTCAGCAGGACCACAGCTCATGTGACAGGGGAGGGGGGGGGGGGGGGCAAGCATCAGTGCGCTGTTTTCTCGAAACAACAACACAGAGAACCAACTGTCGCGACGCTCAATTGAGCGCGTCATACCCGCTGGGCGGGTATGACGCGCGCGGGTATGACCTTACACGGCGCGCGACCTCGACCAGTGCCGCCACTTCGCCAGGTCAGGCGTGCAGTGACAGCCGTCCGAAAACCCGGCAGGTGATTGGGAAGTCTGGCGCGGTCATGGAAATCGATAGTCCCTGATGAGCCCACCGGCCGGATTAGCGGCCAGCCGTCGGCACGCCGGCACGTACACGCCAGCGGCTGCTCCGCCTCGTACCAACTGTACTACGCTGAGCATGCCCAGCACGTCCGTGCTTTATGAAGGTGACTGAACAATCTGTTGAGGTAGGTAGCCGAAATGACAGCGCACATAGCCGCGTTGACCGCCAGCCCGGCCGCCAACGGCCCCGGCAGGTGTGACGTCCTGTTTGTCCGTGAACGCCGGCGCCGCGAGGGCCATATCGAACGGGACCCGCATCGCCGACATGTTCCGGCGCACCGTACCATCAGTACGATGATGCCGGCACCTGCCGCGATCCGCTTCATGCGCACGCCGGGCGGGAAGGTAGGCTCGCGCACGCCCGTGATGGGGTTCTTGCCGTAGGAGGGCGCGCGGGCGGCGAAGTCGGGCCGCGGCCGCTCCTCCTCCTCCTGGTAGTCCATGCAGTCCCAGTGGTGCGAGAGCGTGGCACACTTGCGCTTCCAGTACTCGAGGAACGTCACCGCTGCCAAATGACGATCTTTACAGCGGGGCGCAGCCACACGATCACATGTGTGACACAGGAATGCCTCATCGCCTTCGGGAAAATGGAGGTACAGTTTCAAACCGCCACAATGATGAGCGGCTGCTTGGCCAGCGGATCAAGACGGTGCAGCTGCATATGTTTTGCACTTAAGATTTATAAAGAGAGGAAAGGGGCCGAGAGGGTAAGTCAATAGGAGACTGAAATTCGCAGTCAGCGTTAAATACCTTTCGTGGGGCTAGCGCATGTAGTGACATGTCAGTTTAGCACTTCTTCCGTAATCGGAAATAATTGAACGGATCCAGCTCAAAATAAAAATGAATGAATTTGAGTGCTGCGTGAAGCGTTCATATACATTTTGATCAACTATATCTAAGCGATGAGTGGGACACGTATGTCCTGTTACAATCGCTATGGGCCAACACAGCGTCAAATACAATAAGCATCAATAAATTTCGAAATCATGGCGACAAAACAGACTCAGCACCTGTGTGCTCGCTATCCCGCTCAGGTGTTCCGTCAACATCAGCCGTCACTAAACCCGGACCGTAACTCGAACACATGCGCCGGGTGAGGGGGCCGTAGCCAGCCTCCCCGGACCTGCCGCGCCCACGCCGTCCCTCGCACCGCGACCCAAGTGGAGCGTGGCGTCTCCACACGCCACCGGTCCTCGGGAATCAGGTGAGTCAGGGCGCGCTCGTGGACACGTGTGGCCGGACTGGACAGCCGGCCGACGCCAATTGCTCATGGAGGCACCTGCGCAGCTGTGACGGACACAACGCGGGCCCAGCGCTCATGATCCGCTTGCGAATGCGTGATCGGTACCGTCAGCGCTGCTTTGCGATTTGTCAAAACGGCTTGGTACTGTGCGCTTACAGGTATATGAACAGTTGCAAACTGTGTAATTGACAAGCTATTTTTGCGTCACAATATTTACCAAGCCACGAATATCTGATTAGAGGCGCTACCATCGCTCCACAACAGAGAGGGAGCATTTGTCCGTTGGTCATGATTCGAAGGTGCCTGACAAAACCAGCGGCTCTTTCAAATGGATACTTTACAAACCAGGAGCTGTAACGAAGAACTAGCAGCTTTTCTCAAAATGCGCTGTTTGAGCTCAATCGTTGCATGTAGTTTAGGGGCTTAGATGTGTGCTACACCTATCGAACTTAACTGAATAACTCAATGAGCACAACTTAAACCTGTTGCGATACACGTGTGTTGCTAGCAATGCATTCTTGGAAGAAAAAGAAATAGATAACCCATTCAATGTTCGTTACCGACCCCTTAGGATCTGTGTCTACCAAGCATCTCAACAAATGTATCCCTCGTCGACTCACCCCAGAACGAAACAAACACGCTGTAGAACACGGTGCCGGGGTGGTCAAAAAGGTAGGCGATCTTGGCATAGGCGCAGATGGTATGGAGGTCCCAATACTTGCAGTAATCACAGAGTGGGCACATTTTGAACTGGCCTGAAACATATTCCAATCACTGTTTCACTGAGCGCTACATGCACTTGTCTTCAGCACCCAGTGCGCCCAACTAGTAGCACATTTCGTTCGAATAACGCAAACAAAATATTGCAACTTCATGGGCCAGTTATCAGCTAAATACGCATTCTAGAGTGACAAGCTTATTACCACATGAATGAAATGTGCATCCATGACAAAAGTAGTTGGAGATTTGGTAGGATTTTCGTGCGACTGTAAGTGGCATTTTTGTGCGTATAGCGGCGCTAGCAGCGCAAAGGATGCTTCCAAAGCACTGGACGAAGTCTTGACGTACAGTCTGTACGTCCTAGGTTTGCGAGCGCCACATGTGCTACACCTGCTAGTATATACTTGTTGTTTTAATGGTCCTGAAACGGCAGCCAAAACCTTTTATAATTAATTCAATTCCACCAACAGAAGAACGCCATCCAGACGGCACAAGGGCGACTCCCGCAAAGAGCAAATATGACATTTCTGATCTCTGACAGTAGATCCGAAAAGTTCTCACCTTCCTTTTCGCATATCTCGTTAGCGATATCATTGTTGTCAATGGTGATAACACCATAAAGAAACACCAAAAACCCTATCACAGCAGCGGGAAGAAGCCAACCGGTGTAAAATCCTGAAACAGAATACAGTAAGCTTGATATGTGCCCAACAGATTCTGACACCGATTGGCATATAGAATGCTTTATCAAATTTGTTTTGCTTCTATCAGAAATAACATTACTTCAAGGTCTTCAAGAAGCGTGTGAGAGAGGCGCACACCGCGACATAAGTAGCATTTTTAACACGACATGAGGCACCCCTCACAATTCCACTATCAAGAAACGCTGACCGGTAAGCAGTGATCAGTCCGAAAATAAAAGTCTCAAAACGTGTCTTGTGGTTTCTTTCAACAACAGATGCACGCAATCGGATAGGAAATGTCATTTTTATGCCTAGCGATTCTCACCTAGCCAGGCAAAGTAGATGCCGATCTTTTCCCCGAAGTACTCTCGTATATGGTCGAGTGGCTGGTACTTGTACCAGCGAGAGTAGCGACCCCAATACTCATACAGTACCTGGCGAGTGTTCAGTTCGCTGGGCGCCACATCAGAGTCCTTCGGTATAACATACTCGCCCTGCAATGCATTGGTCCAGTTCAGTACAAGACAGTCAGCAACGGTTGGACAACAACAACGACAGGTAAATGCCTTTTCGATGCGTTTCATGTTTCGTTTGAAGCTGAGCTTTCTGAACTCTTTTAACTGAGCTCTCCTTCTCTTAAAGACTCCCCTGGGGAGAGAGAGAGAGAGAGGGAGAGAGAGAGAGAGAGAGAGAGAGAGAGAGAGAGAGAGAGAGAGAGAGAGAGAGAGAGAGAGAGAGAGAGAGAGAGAGAGAGAGAGAGAGAGAGAGAGAGAGAGAGAGAGAGAGAGAGAGAGAGAGAGAGAGAGAGAGAGAGAGAGAGAGAGAGAGAGAGAGAGAGAGAGAGGGAAAGAAGAGAACTCACATCATGTAGAGGGAAGGCGGCGTGGTATGTGCCCTCGTCGACAAGTCGCTCGATGCCCACCTCGCCCTGCTTTCGTTTGCCAAACACAGACGTGGCCAGAATCTCGTACACGATTCGTATCCGCTGTGCGGTAGAGAAGTAATTGTCCTGATCCTCGCTGCCCAGGAACCTGCGACACCGATACAACTGGTCACCGCTAGTGGCCGTGGCAAGACATCTGATTGGGCACACTCTGGTCGATCGCTAGGCTGTGTTTATCCCTGCCCAGATTAAAAAAGAGCATGCTATTTGTATTCCTCTTCCTCTGCCCATGCTGAACCTCCATGCAGTTTAACACGCACTTGGGTGGGGTCAATTTGCCTCCCTCAATCCGAAGACTTTTTCCATAATTCCATAATAACTTCCGAAGGGCGCGGCAGATCCGAGCTGCACTTTGTTTATCTGTAGAACACTGAATATCTGATCTCTTGGCACAGCAAATAAGATACACCTTCTAAGGTCGCTGACCTGTGGCAGGTCAAAGTCAAGCCATTTTTGTCAGGGTAGGCACTTAAAAAAAATACGACGAAGAGGTGTTAGACGAATTGTGAAACATAATGAGGCTTCCTCTATTCTCTATAGGCTTCTCTCTCTCTCTCTCTCTCTCTCTCTCTCTCTCTCTCTCTCTCTCTCTCTCTCTCTCTCTCTCTCTCTCTCTCTCTCTCTCTCTCTCTCTCTCTCTCTCTCTCTCTCTCTCCTCTCTCTCTCTCTCTCTCTCTCTCTCTCTCTCTCTCTCTCTCTCTCTCTCTCTCCTCTCTCTCTCTCTCCTCTCTCTCTCTCTCTCTCACTCTCTCTCTCTCTCTCTCTCTCTCTCTCTCTCTCTCTCTCTCTCTCTCTCGCTCTCTCTCTCGCTCTCTCTCGCTCTCTCTCTCTCTCGCTCTCTCTCTCTCTCGCTCTCTCTCGCTCTCTCTCGCTCTCTCTCGCTCTCTCTCGCTCTCTCTCGCTCTCTCTTTCCCTCGCTCTCTCTTTCCTTTCATATTTTCCCCCTGTAAATACCCGCAGTTGTTATGTATTGGTGGGGTTAACAACGATGCAACTAAACATCCTTAGAAGCTGCGCGCCCCAATCCTGCTGTGCCGCAAAGCACGTTTGAAAGCCTCTGCTGCCTCACCATACAGCCTCTGCGCCTGAACCATGCTGCGCCGCAAAGAACTTTTGAAGATGCCTCCTGGCTCACGAAACAGCCTACGTTTGATGAGGCATGTTTGCTCAATTGTACAATCGCTTATCGACTAAACGCACGTCCATTGTCCATGCCATACCATTAGTGTTGTGATTACCTCTCACAAATGTTGTGATGACATTGATCAATCCAGTGAAATGTGTACGTAGTAAACGAAATTTGCATCCGGGATTCTCGAAGAAAAATCGATGCCTTCATCGTTGCAGCAGCACTGCACTTTGACTATTCATTTACACTTGCGCTTTCTTAGACAGAGACCACACTTTCTCACAACGTTTGTTACAATGAGGCCTACAAATATGGAGCATGCAAACATAAAACCTTAATCTTTTCTGCAAAACGGTCCTAACTGCTGCATCATTATCACACACCCGGTGCGGGGATTAATTTGGTCCGCCCCAAGGTTTTACGGCATAATTTCTGAGCGGCGTTTCGTCGCCGCACCAGACTAAGAATAGATTTGGGCAAATTAATAATGGATCTTTCCTTACGAAATAAGATGCACCTTGTGAGGTCGCTGACCTTTGACAGGGCAAAGTAAGGCCGTGGTTGTCTGTGAAGACAGTTTTGGGGGCATCGTTTAATCTGATGCGAGAACGGAGTGTGAGATGAAGCCATACATCTCTGAGGTAGTTTCTTAGAAAACGAAACATTAAAATTTGGATTTTAACAAATTACATTGACCTGGGGTCAGGTATGAAAGTCAAGCTGAGTTCTAAACCAACTTGCCTTTTTACCCGTGAGCTTGCAGTAAGTGGTAGTCTCTGGTGCACATTTTTAATCTGTTGATAAAAGGGACCGCAAGAGACATCACCCATGGCCTTTTTAAGGCCAAAGTACGCCACTGACCTAAAACGACTCAGGTCAACATTTTCTTTTAAGGTAAATATCGCCTAGCGTAATTCTTGGATTTTGGCCACTATGATCTAAATGTCAAACAGGGCCACTGACTTTAAGTGAATAGCAGTGGCCTTTTGTTTAAGATAGGTAAACAGGTTCATGACGTTGTTTAAATAAGTTATGTGGCACTTCTGACACCAACCTTGAGCTTGAACTTGCTTGACCTTATTTGACATGAAGATCATAACCTAGGAATCTCCAATTTCGATAAAAGTGAGTTAGCATGCAGGTCAAGCCACTCTGTGCATTTTAAGTCTCTAGCTCTCTTCGCCTCTTAGATATAGATGTCAGGGGATTGAATTGACCCCACCCAAACAAAGTGCATTCAACCGGCCACCCGAGCGCGTGTTTGGACTCAGTTGCTGCGTAAGGGTGTCTTATTTCTTTACGAGGACCGTTTTTTAATGTTAACAAGGAACATGATTGTTTGCAAGCAAATGGTTGCTGTTGCTGCACTCGGTATGCTGCATTACTCAGTGTCATTGAAACACGCTCATCCTTTCCCGTTTTCCCTTTTCCCTTTCTGTGATCGGCGTTCTTTCTACGCTACACAAAATAAACGCATGCAAAGCTGTGAAGACCCGTGAATGGCGCTGTCTGCCCCGTGTCAGTCAGCCGCGCAGTCCACGCTTGCCGCGCGGTCCCCCCTCGGGTCCCGGTTGGGTCTGCTCAGGTCCCCCGCTTCGCGTGACCTGCGGCCCCGCCTGGTGACCGGGCTGGCCATCCCAACTGCAGGTCAGCGCGCGGCACCGCGGCGGACGCACAGTGGCGGCACTGCCCGTCGGGGAGGGTGGTAAACGAACGTCAGCGCCAGTGCCCGGCCGCCGGCCATTACTGCGCCGCTGCGCCTCGCCCGGCCCGCGCCGCGCCAACACGCACCAGGCCGCGGCGCTGGCACGCGAGAGCCCACAGACTAGACTCGGAGTCAGTTGGCCGCCGCCGGCTGAGGCGAAGCAAACGGCGCCAACGCGACGGCCGCAGACAGCGAACCAGCTCGCTGCTTCCTGTCTGGTATTGTTTTTGTAGTTGTTGCCGTGGCACACGAATAGTGGATTGCCGTGATGGTAAAACAATGCGCATCTGGTACCGTGCTGTCATTGTTTTTTGCGGCACTAAAAGAAAGACGCTATTCCTCCCATATCCAAAATATGTCGGCACTTCATTAATCACTCAGCAGAGCGTAAGAAATAAATCGCAATACGCAGCCATCCACAACCTGACATCTAATGGTTGGAAGTTTCAGCTAAAAACACCTCGTCCTCTAATGTGTTTCAGTTTCAGGTGCATGGTTGTGTTTACCTGTCACTAGTAGTGTTGAACCCAAAACCCACTGGACGAGGTGCCTGCTGCGCAATTACTGGCGCGAGTGGCCGTAACGCCCAATAACTGACAAGAGTGGCCCTAACGCCCAATAACTGACATGAGTGGCCCTAACGCCAATAACTGACACGAGTGGCCCTAGCGCCCAATAACTGACACGAGTGGCCCTAACGCCTACTAACTGACATGAGTGGCCCCAACGCAACATGACTGACATGAGTGGCTTTAACACCCAATAATTGACAAGAGTGGCCCTAACGCAGTTGGTAGGTTGGTGTGGTTATTAGCCCTACGATGCCCCTGTTTCTGCACATAATCCTGCCATCCTGGCCCTCATATTTTTATCAAGCCTACCCAAAGCGCCATTAATTCACACATCTATCACGACGTGTGGAGAGGCATGCGCAGACAACGATGAGTTCAGCTCAACTGCCACCAGTCAGGCCCCTGTTACGGCGTGACACGAGCGACGCGATGACAGAGGTTACCACACCATCATGTCATTCCAGATTGTCCCAAACGCCAGCGAATGGAGCCCATTATATTCGAGACCCCATGAGGATAGGACTTTGAAATACCCTATACTAGACATCTGTGGCAGTTGTAACAGATGAGTTGAATTAATTTTGAATACGGTATGTTTTAGTGGCTGTGACGAAGTCAGTGGGGAAAAGGTCAGCACTTTGGGTAATTATTGGACGCTTAAAATTGAACTCTATGCCAATGAAGTTTTCATGGTTCGATCTATCGTCATTTCGGCTCAAGTGTGTTGCATTAAGGGACGGTTTTGGCGAAGGTGACTTTGGTGGCTTTACGGTCTATTACTGGCGTGCCCATGAGACGGACCGGATTGATGTCGCTTACTGAGGTGTAAGCGATGCGTTCGCCTACGTCTCACGTCCGGTTTCACGCCTCTATCTGCAGTCGTTGCCGACGTCTGACATCCAGTCCCGACATAATGACATCAGTGTCTCTGTTACCCCGCCTGACGTCAACACGAAAACATGCGAAAAGAAACGGGTTTCGCACGATACACAAGTACTGCGCGTGAGTCTGCAAACGTCGATCCACACTTTCGCCATGGCAGCTGTACGTTTTCTCCCTCGTCAGCGTTAATTTATTCCATTTCGCTGCGATGCTTCGTCACCAGAATCCAAACCTTTTTCCAATCTGCGGGTCTCAGTTTCTTCGCGATTCGAAAGTTTTACGTTCCCAATATTAATGGAATGATCCCGTGAAAAGATGACGATATTCCAGCGTTGTACGTCGCATGATCACACGGACTGCGTTGATGCATGTACCTTAAAGTATTACTGTACAGCGCTTCAGAATTGCGCCACTTAATGCAAAAGCTTTCTACCGGAGAGATCAGTGACTACAAAAATACTGGGCTGTCAGAAGCGTTACCCAGTTTTTCAATATTCGATCTCTTATGTGGCAGGGATGTCAATATTTTTCATGTTCTCGGATCCCCGGTACGGAGTTGAAGTGCCTGCCTGCCTGCTGATGCTCCTCTTGCTCAAAATTTGTCATTCAGCATCGAACCGGGGGGCAATCAACCCAGATTTAGGCGCCTCGAGCTTGGCAAATCGGTCAGACATGTATAGTCCAGATGTCAGGGTGTGGGCACATAGGGCGCCGGATTAGCAGCCAACGAAGTACGCGTGTGGAGGCCGTCGGGTAGCCAGAATTCTGACAAATAACACAGTAGTGATAGCCTTATTCTTCGGAAAAGGAACAGGATAATGTAGAAATAGATTGGTTGATATTTCTACCAAATGCCTTTATCGAAATGATAGCAGAAATGAATTCAAAATTGCAGCCGATGATCCTGCTCCATTTTTCAGGTCATCTTTTGCTCTCCCTACTGTATTAACTTTTGAACACCGGGCCGTGACTGAAGGTGCTGCTAAAATTATACGATTTCTGGTTCGTTGACGCGAAGGCTAGCTGGGCCTGCAGCCACGCTGGAAGCAAGTTATCAGCATGCATATGGACATTCTAAATCAAGTCAAAGTTGACGTGTAGCCGTGGAGAGCTAGAGGGGACAGAGCTTTTAGTCATGAAAATTTTCTTCCAATGCAAAAGTAAACCACAGCTTAGCACCAATCTAGCGGCAGCACCCAACTTACTTGTCCAGCTTGGCCTTCTTGAAGGGACAGGTGAAGTATTCCACCGGCTTGTTGGGCACGTCCTGCTGCATGACGTTAGGAATGTGCAGCTTCTGCAGGATCCACTCCGACCAGTTATGGGGCATGTTGGGCCGGACCTGGACAAAAGTGCATGGTTACTGGCACCACAAACAACCGCGAGAGTGATACTTCATGCAGTGGAGAGTGCTAATGATGCAGTGATTCCGGCCACACGGCACTCCCATCGGACACTTCATAACGTCCCCGACGCCAAGCGGATAAGGAGATTTTTCGGAAGTAAAGCACTGGGCCAGCGGCTGGACGGTGCCACGTCAAACCGACTTTGCAGAAGAAGCCTTTGCGTACGTGGACTTAGCGGACCTGTCTGCCATAGTGCGGACACCTGTCGACTTTGGTATCGGCTGAATGACACCTTCATGCTTTGTGGGCACACGGTGTTGATTTTCGGAGAAGGTTATGGACAGATACTATTTCAAGGCATGTTCTTTCATCTTAGGTGGGGTAATGGTTTCACTGTACCATCTTTGCTGGTACTGCAGGTCAACAATTGTTCACGTACATTTTTAATTTGCTTGTGACACCAGCCTAGAAACGACATAGCAGCAATTTTATTTTTGGCATCAATGTCTGGTCAGTCACAACCTTCATGCCGGGAAGGCCGGCCTATAAAATATGTGGCAAATTTAAGAAATGATTCCAGCCAGCCATGGGGTTTCATAACCCATGATATGCAAAATGAAATGCCCAAAATTCAACAAAATGGGCGTTCAACCACAGACATCCTGATTGAGATCGAGTCCGGGTTCTTAATACGCAAAGCCAAATTCACTTATATTTGGTGTCAATGTTTACTTTATCTCATCAGCTGCAAAGGGACAGCAAGAGATCATAACATTCGTCTTTATTGGCGGCCTATCACACATCATTTCGCTGAAAAACCGCACGAGCATTTCAACCCCTGACCTTGACGAAAAGTGAGACAAGCATTTCCCGTACCAAACACATATGTGCATGACATGATGCTGAAGACTTTCAAAGGTCACCAAGCTAACTCTCTAGGTAAGAAAGCTTTCTAGATAGCATTCGTGCCATGGTGCTAAAAACGGAGCAGCAACCAACTGATAGAACTCGCATTAGATGAAGGGTCTGGAAACGTATGTTTCTAGTGAGGGTACGTTGAATAGTTTACAGAACGTTATTAAGGTAGTATCTAAATGGTGTAGCAGCTATTCGGCAGCAAGACGTTACGATGAAAAACACATGACTGATATTACAGGTGTTTGTCCACTCTTGAGCAAAAAATGGCTGACGTTCGCCACCGGTGCGCTACAACACGACAACGCCAAAATCCAAATAATCACGAGCGTTTTCGCAGTCCATTGCCTATTGACAAAAAGCCACGTCTACCGGTTCAACGAGGAAATTTGCATTTGCCTGGTCGAGATTGCAACCCAATGCTAATCTATGTTGTGACCGGACCAGCGCCTTCAGCGGGAAGTACTGCTCGTACCACAAACTGGTCGTGTCACAAATATCAGGAAACATTCGCCTGCCAGTGCCGCTGCTTTAGACCAGCCAATGTACTCTCACCGTCTGAAGCCAACCACTAATAGATCGTCTACATGCCTGGTATCCCAAACCTGCCCTGGATCGTATGACTGACGTCTCAAAACGCCTCCGTTGATTAAAATGCATACCTGCTTCAAAGTTGTTCTCAAAGTTCCGTCATGCGTGTTCTGTGACAAAACGAACTTAAGAGCTTGTCTGTAAGTTCGTGCTTCAAACCGGCTATATGATCCTTGTGACTACGGAATTATCAGAAAGGCAAGTATTTCAAACAGCCCCATGGATGATATGTCCGTCGCTTAAACAGGCCCCTGGGAGTAGAATGCACATCGGTCAACTCAACCTGACCTCGCAGGGTTCGGCTGTACGTCTTACATCTCACGCAGGCCCAAAGACATGGCTCTATGCCCGCCACCCCAAACCAAACCACGAATGCTAGAACGTCTCTCGCATCGCCCCCCCCCCCCCCCGCCCCTTTTCTTGATGACTGGACCATCCACTGCCGTGAGCCGCCCCTCTCCGCAATGAGTGGGCCGTCTAGCACATTGGACCTCCCCTCTTCTCGACGAAGAATATCTCGGACCGGTCGCCATCTCACGTCAGGGTTTGACATACAGCATGTCATACAACATGTCTGACACGCTGTATGACTGCCGGCCCCGACCGGGCCCAGTATGACAGCCGGCCCCGACCGAGCCCCGTATGACTGCCGGCCCCGACCGAGCCCCGTATGACAGCCGGCCCCGGTCCCGCCCGTCACTGTCCGGTGGCACGCCGGTCGATCGTGGCAGCATTTGCCACGTGCCTCGCTGCGGCTGGCGCCTGCCGTGACGCGTTCAGTGTCGAAATCGGTGACGACACGCCACATATTCCGCGCTGTTTGCCATTGTCTCTCGGTTTGTCGAGCTCAGACATGGACGGCCGTCTGTGAACTGTAGGGGTTGTTGGCAGAGCTCAGACATGGACGGCCCGTCTATAAACTGTAGGGGTCGTTGGCAGAGAAGACCGATGCTTTGAGGTGCTGGTCTAGCGTTTGTTCACTGCCTGCACTCTTTTGTCAGCATTGCGCGCTGGTAGAGCAGCATGGGCTAAAATGACAAATTAAGTTAGCGACGTGAGCATACCACAAATGTGGTCGATTTATTTGTAGCTGGTAATGTGAATGGCATATGATGTTCGCTTATAAAATTGCACACAAACATAACTAATGAACTAATGAACACCGATTTGCAGACAAATGACACAAGCATAACTCAGCCAGGATGCACAATGTGGAGTTGTGGCATGACACGATGTAGAATTGTAACATGAAATGGTGTAGAGTTCTGACATGAAATGATGTAGAGTTCTGACATGAAATGATGTGACATTGTGAAATAGCATGATGTTAATTTATGACATATGACGTTGACTTGTGACGTGACATGATGTGGTGGTGTAACGTGATGTGCAATAGTGATATAACGGGAAAATATAAAAGTGGTCATCTTTAGATAGCTCGATGAAAACGTAAATGTCTTAAATACTCTTAGATGTGAATGCCCGATTTTCAAATCTTCCACTTGAGTTAACTTTGAACGCAGGCAAACCACCGCTACAGTTTGTGTTTTTACAGTAGGTCAGCAGCACATCACATTCTTGCATCACTGAGCCTCATCGGGGCTGGACAGCGAACATTGATACACGTTTGGGGTACAGTGAAACCATTCCCGGAGCTGTTCACTCACGTCGCGGCGCGGAACAGTTCCACTGACTCAGCTTCGACGACGGCCAAGCGCGTTCGGTACAAAAACACCACTCGCCATCCACAGAACAAACTAGGCTAATGAGTCGGACATGGTGATGGCAACACGTGCGCCAACTATTCCATTTCCGCATTATACGTTCAAAGTTCTTATGGAGAATGAATGATGTTCAAATCACCAGAAAACGCTGGTTAACCGACGTTGTAATGCTAAATCACGATTATGTTGACGGTATTCAAAGTATCAAGCCGTGCTCATCCTCAAAAGTGTGCTCATCCTCATCTCTTACCACTAAAATGCCGTTTAACCAGCATCTCCTGGTATCTTTAGGGTTATTAAGTCTACATAAGAATTTTGAACTGATGATGCCCTAAAAAGCGAGCCTTTCTTTCTGATATCATTCTCAATTTCTTATATGTTACATTGGCTACAGAACATTTTAATAACCATGCATATTTGACAGGCAATCCAAGGCAGACCGGTTTTTCGTAATGCTGCGCAGGGTGATGACATTTTGGTAGAGCTCTGACAATGCTTGGATTCAGCAGCAACAAACTGGTGCACAACAAACACGCATTCACTGTAAATAACAAACACTGAAAACTTGACAATGGTGGATGGCAAAGTAAAGTGTTCGAATACCATGCTAAAATCTCCCTCTTGGGATCGTACGTACACACAAAGTAACAAGGTTTGGATAAATGTACTTTAGGACAAAACTATAGCGACATAGCGAGGCATGAACTACACTTGGACCTGCCCTTTCTTGAAAACAATGTGTCTAATATTCTGATGCAACACAAGATAAGCTATGTAAGAGGTAAGCAGCGAAATGATGCTACTGGATAAGTGGTCAGTTGCTCCAACGACCTGGACTTATTAGAGCAACTAACATCGGGATCTAAACTGCATACCAAAAAATGACACTGTATGTGCGGCACAACAAAACACCGCAGAGATGACCATGGTCGGCATGGCTGATAGACTATAACGGATATAAATACCTGAAGAACATTTGCGTCTACATTCCACCTGTACACAACATATTTTCACCATGCAAAACAGCTTTCAAAAACATGCCAGTAAGACACTGAATAGAGGAAATGTCCACATTGGTTTCAAGGCATTAAGTATATGCGCATCAAGGTCCCATTGAGCACAAACGCATGATCATTGCTGCCGTTCAGGACCAAACGCTATGCTCGGCTTGCCCCTCTGTTCCAATACAGGGCTGGAAGTGGGACGGGGCCGATGGCATGCCACCCAGGCAGCCAGCATCATATAAGCTTGCACAGCCCCATAAAACAAATTACCTCATTGGGTCCATGCATGCTGTTCTCTATACATCTCGACCTCAAGAACCCCCCAAAATCTGTCAAAATGCACGGCGCCATATTCCAAACCAAACAGACGCCGCTCTGCGCAAGTCATAGAGGGCTCTACCACAAGTCCTACTAGTGCGAAGTGCTGGGTACAGTGGGCAACCACTGCTGTACTACGTGGGCTGTGGTGCGGCGTGCTGCTATGCAAAGTGTGTCTACCTGTATGGTTACTCACATCTTGACACTGTTTCGGGTCCTTTTTCTGTCGCAAGCGATGGCGGTGGGGAGGAGAAAGCCAGCTAAGGTGAGCACAGATACGTGAAGGTCACGCTAACGCCGCTGAACGGTGTGGCGCCAGGGAAGGCACGCAGGCCACAGGACGGAAGGCAGGGTCCGGAGGACAGCGGTGTAGCGCCTGGGAGGGGACGCAGGCCATAGGGCGGAAGGCGAGGCCCGAAGGACATCGGGGTGGCGCCTGGGAGGGGATACAAGCCATAGGGCGGAAGGCGAGGCCCGAAGGACATCGGGGTGGCGCCTGGGAGGGGATACAGGCCATAGGGCGGAAGGCGAGGCCCGAAGGACATCGGGGTGGCGCCTGGGAGGGGATACAGGCCATAGGGACGGAAGGCGGGACCCGGAGAACAGCGGCGTGGCGCCAGGGAAGGTACGAAAGCCACAGGGTGGAAGGTGCGGTCCAGAGGGGAGCGGTGCCCCTGACGACCGACTGCGTAGTCTGAAAGGAATCGGACCTCCTCAAGCCGGTTTAACCCAACCCTAGAAGTCAACACTTCTTGTTCGAGGGATGGGTTTTTTAATCGCAGACCGGAAAGAGGCTCGAACAGCTCTGCTGTGTGCGTAAGTGGGCCTTGTTTAGCACGAACGAAGCGCGGGCACATGACAAGTGGTTCGGGTGTGAAGGGAGGGCAAAAGCCACTACCGAGTGGTGTCACATCGAACAGCATGTCCTTTTCATTAAGCGGTGCGATGTATCCTATCCATTCCGCTCCAGATCAACACCAATTTGTGGATGGGAAACAAACAGCAGGGGATAAGCTACAGTCACAACGAATACGACGGGTGGCGGCCATGGTGCTCTCCTGAAATCGTGCTGTTCAAATGACAACTACCGCGTGTTGTGATCCTGACGGCTGTTGTGCGAGACCTCGATGGCCGGGCCGCAGGGCAGCAAACAGAGATGGACGAACAACCCGACCGACTGTCACTTCACCTCAGCGCGTCAGCGAGGTCGAAACATTGATCAGGTGGCCACACAAAGCTGGCGGCGCACGCGATTACGGGGGCAGTCTGGCACACGGTGGACGAAACGAAGACAAAAATGCGACAGAGCTAGTGCAGTGTGTACTTTAATCTAGCAAACCATTTTCGCAAACGTGTCATTTTCGGAGCCCTACTCTCTACATCTTGTTAACCGGAGCACATTTCGAAAATAACAGAAAAAAGCTCGGCTTGGCCACACAGAACTGAAACAATACCCGAACCCTTTGAACGCATTCGAATGACAACCGCCCCCCCCCCCCCGCCGCTGTCCCAGCGGCTTCCCGGCGGGAACGCGCGGGCCTGGCCCCGATAAGCAATCACGTGTGACCAGCAACTGGTCAGCCACCGCGCCCCCACGGACGGAGTCGACCCTCGGGCTGATCCAGCCCGCTGACTGCGTGGGTCGGTAACAGCGAGGCGCGGTCTGCTGGCCAGCCGGATGAGGTCTGCGGTGGCCGGTCCTGGTGACCGCTGAGGCCGGTCTGTCGGCGGCGGGCAGCGGCTCGTAGCTGGCGCCCTAACGGCCGCGCTGCCTGACCGGCGCCCTGGCGGAGCCGTAATGGCCGCCATAGGGGCTCAATGGGACAGGCGGGCGGCTCTGCCGGCGGCGCTCGATGAAATGCAGGCTCCCGCAGGCCCGTGCTACGCTCAATGGCTTACCAAAAGCTCGATATGCGGGTCTCGAAACCATTGGCATGCCGTGCCCGTTCGTGGAGAGAATTGGCAGATTACGCCAGCCTTTCATACGAAATAGCCGGTCTCACCGTTGACCGAATCCACATGAGCGGTTACGTCTCCTGCAAGCGTCTCCGAGAAATCACGATTTTTCATGACCCGGCTACTCACGATGCGGGCGAGGAAGAGTTCCATCTTGGGGCTCATCTGGATAGATGTCATGCGCAGTTGTCCCTGCACCTTCATGCGGGTCACCGAGTCGAGGAACCCGTCCATGTACCGGGGCCCAATCGACTTGCGCGGTGTGATCCGCTCACGCACCAGGCTCAACAGGGGCTTCCAGGAGGGCAGGTCAGGATAGGAGAGGTCACAGCAGGTCACGGGCACACGGATGTGGGAGCAGATGTGCACGGGTTGCTGCCATTGCTAGGGTAGACGCACGACATAAAGTCGCTGCAGGTGCGGGTGGGGTGAGTCGCTCATTGGGCTCATGGATACTTGGTTGTCTGTGTTTTAATACTAGCTTCACTTTCAAACCTGTTTGTCTCCAAAAGTCAGGTGGCTCTAATTTTGCATAAGGCAACAAAGGTATCACTAACATCATGCTCGTGTTCGCTCACATCGCTGCTTATTGTACCTTTTGCCTATGGAGACATACGGAGCAAATTAGAAATGCCTGCTCCTTAAGGAAGCTTTCGCTTGGGGATAAGCTAATGGTGTTGTCTAAACACACTACAAGCTGCTCGACCGAACGTCGAATGAGCACATAACTTCGGCGTCTGAGGACAAGGACATGAATCACTGATGACCCCAAAGCCCAAACACAAGCAGCTGCACCCCGCCAGAGCTAGAGTCTGTCGCTCGTCTAGCTAGAGCCTACCTGCAGCGGCGCTTTCATCTTCAGCTCCTCAGCCCAGGTGCACAGCACGTCCCATGGCGCGTGGAGCTTGATGAAATGGATGGTCTTCTTCGCCCCGGGCACGATTTCCTGCCAGGGTCGTCTCCGTTACGATCAACGTTGTGCTCATCTCCATAGCAACGAAGCAATCCCTTTTAGCCTCAGGCATTCCCACTTGACTGGATGGAGCTCCCAGAAAATCATTTCCTTATTTAATGATACAAGTTGTTAAGTTCCTGCTGATTGACAGGTGACAAGTTAAGTTTTATCAGATGTTCACTCTGTGCGCTTACATAATTTTGGAAAGTCTTGACTTCAACGTCGGCCACATGGAAATACAATGGTCTTCGCAATATCATATCACCTACAGCGGTATGTTCAGGAACGACGGCGCGCCGGCCAAAAATGCTACAGTGACGCCAGCAAAGGCAAATCGCTGCAAATTCTGCAGCTTTCTGGGCTAACAAGACATTGGTGCGTATCAAAATGTTCGCTTTCTTGCATAACAAACAGACATACGGCAAGTTTTTCGAGCCCCGTCGTTACAACGCACACTGGAATACCGTGCAATACCAGAGTCAGACACCAAGAAACAATGAAGCGTGATGTCAGGCAGCCACGAGCAATAGAGCGTAATGGTATGCAGCCACGAACTCAGCGTGGTCTGTCAATTTATGATACACGCGAATCGACAATATAAACGACCAGAATGCGCTAGATCGTCTCAATAATTGATGCGATGCCACCGGCGTTTTAATTTGACCGAGGTTATCATACAGCGCTCGCGCACATTAAAGTCACAACGACATCCGGTATGCCAGGTGGCAATAATGTTACCATGCACATCCATTTAATCTAGGTCCGCCCCTTTATCTGACGTCATATGCGAACGCTAGAGTCCACAGCCCCTCATTTCACAAGCCACTGCGTTCAGCGCCGCACATTGAGGAAACCAAGGATGCGACACAGCTCCGGCTGGTCATATTGCCGGGCAGACCATAGCATGTAAATGACCTCTGAACTGTAGTTACGTCCGACTGGGCCATTGCCAGTCCGTTGCGGAAGGCGCAGCTCCCTCATATGAACCAGCACCACATCAGCATGCATACCCTCTTCCGTGCCGAGGAGAACAAATGTAAGTGCCAACCAGCAAGCCGGAGAAACACATCATAGTACCCAGAGCAGGAGACCAGGAAATCAAGCTGAAACTACGCAGATGAGAGCCGCACAAATTTCGCAAAATGTGTCACGTGAAAATGTAATATTTAAGGGGCCTATTACACGTTTGCATGGGGAATTTTCCTAATATGGTCGTCATAAGATGCCGTTCTGTACTTCACGGCCATGCTCTTTTTAAGATTTTGAACTCTCTTGCTTGACGCGCGCGAACTTGTGCTGTCTGTTTCACGCTACCCTAAAAACGCAACATTTGTGCCCCTGCCTCACTGGCAGTATTGTGCTGATGCTCGATTAAATATGGCCACTGAAACATTCGTGTTTGCAGTGGTTCAGTATCGACTGTCTCCATGAAGGAAGTTAATTGGATAACAGTCAGATCGAACTGCCGGTGGCTTGTCTCAATCACGAACCACGTTTTGTGATAAATAACACTGGCATTCGGGCAACTACTAGTCATGACCGACATGAGGCTGGGAATCGAATCACTAGAGCATACCGCCGCAACCGAAAATGCCAGTCCAGGTAAATACATGCCACTACGGAAAAATACACCACTACACCATGAGAAAAGGCCAAAATACACGCATATAACACCTGCACACGAATCTACACGCGTAGACCTTCCACGCCACCATGCTGCGCTTAGGAGTACGGCAAGTAAGTCCCACCGTCCTCTACAGTGGCAACTCCGACACGGCCAGTCTGGCAACGACTCTGACGTCATACAAATTTCCATGACGTAATCTTGCGGTGAGGTATTGGATGGCATATTCACTAAATAGTGAAACTGAAAAAAAGAAAAAAAACACTGCCAACGAACCGGCAAATGAATTAGCGAAAGTTTTGCTCTCCCCTTCCAACTCCAGCTCAGGTTGTGGATACCAGCCCATCCAGCCATCTTATATCACTGGCCAGTCCCATCCCGTCCGGACCAGCCTACCCACCTCCTCCATCTCCAGGCCGGCCTTGCGGAGGTTGGCGCGGAAGCGTCCGCGCCAAGCCTCCTGCTTCAAGAAGCGCTTCTCGGCCAGCCGGCCGCGCACTTTGCCCTGGATGCTGGTGTCCTCGTAGACGAGGATGTAGTCGATGCGGCGCTTCTCGTCGCGGAAGAAGCAGCTGTCGAGCTCGGCCGGCAGCTGCGCGTCCTTGCGCCGCTCCAGGTGGTACTCGTTGTTGTGGTTCTGAGGCAGGCGACCAATGGACGGTAAGACGCCGGCGTCGACAGACAAACACCTCTATCAATATTAATGGGAAATCACGGGCAGATGGGAACAACAATATGCGCAGGTTCTTCAATAATTTTTTTCAGTGCCACGTATGATTAAATGGTGATTTGCGTGCGCACTGGATCAGCTAGTGTGCTAGCCTACCACCTCAAGTTTTGTATCCGATAGACGCAAGCATTCCGTCACCTTTTACCGTCACCATTCGCTTTCGTCGAAACGATTGTTTTTAAGTCGGGTAAAGTAGTTTCCTAGGGCTTGCGATCCCAAGCCATACCGCAAGTAATAAACTTTTTCGCTTCCACGCATAATGAAAAGCAACAAAACATTCAGAGGGTATACCAAGTTACTGAAAATGTAATTGGAAATCGGGAAGTTTGCACGTTCTGCATGGTCTACCTACTGCACGAATGCACTGCCAGAGCATACACAGGTGTTTCTGCGCGATGCCCTCGCCCAGCCTGGCACCTCAGCAAGCCGTCGGCAGTGTCAGACGTCACGTGGCGCAGTTCCGCCAACGTTACGGGGACGGGCGACGGCTGCGTTCGCTCCGTCGGACCGCGCCTGTCGACGTTTTTCACCTTCGCCACTCGTGTTTACTTAGCGGTCGCCGGGTGACTGTCTGCTGTTTGGTCGGTCGGCGCCACGCTACTGCTACGGCGCAGCAACGCTGAGTGCAACCAGCGACGTCAAACAGGTCTGGATGGTCGTCTCCTGGCTTATGGCCCTTCGAGTCAGAACACTTTGGAACGGTAAATGCGGTGTGGAAGAGCCATACCGGGAGTCGAGCGCCAGGGCAGGATTTCGAAACCGACGGCTTCAGGAGGCAAGGACATTTTTCAGCTCGCGAGGCAAAGTTTAACAACTTTTGCGACGAAAACAATTTCGAGAGTTAAGTCACGGAGGACAGATGAGACGGCCCACGTGCTCCACGACGCCACGCCCAGCTTCCGAGCAGCAGAGTGCGGAAATGGACGCCGGTCTCCTCCCGCGGTGAGGCTCTATCCGCGGATAACCACCCGCTGGCGGTACAGGCCGATTTGATAATGTCCTCATCCTCAGACCGCGGGGTGGCGGTCGGCCATAATGGCACGGATCCGGAGAGCCTCAGTACCGCACCGAGTGGATGTCGACGCTAGCGAGGCACTTTGGCCAGCCGTGGGAACTGACAGGGAACCGCTTAAAACGGCCTGAATACTGTACATTTGTGTAATTGTGTAAAAAGGTATATATATATATATATATATATATTTATGGTTATATATACACACACATATATATATATATGTATATATCTACACACACATATATATATATATATATATATATATAACCATAACTTGTAGAGTTCTGAGATCCGTGGTACTGCTTCCCTGTCTTGTCACGGTAGGCCCCGATATCAGACCCCACCAACGCCACGTAGACTTGTGGCAACCATAAAAAGCTGAAGTTCTTTCATTGCACCACTAGTTTGATAGCGTCAGATGGCCTCTTGCGCAGCAGAGTGAGCGTGGCTGGATGTATGGATGATCGAATGGACGGACTAGTGCTTTGCCCAAACGAGAATCGAGCGTGCAAGAGTTGGGTGAGATTGCTTAGTGTTTGCCCAAACGAGAATCGAGCGTGCAAGAGTTGGGTGAGATTGCTTAGTGTTTGCCCAAACGAGAATCGAGCGTGCAAGATTTGGGTGAGATTGCTTAGTGTTTGCCCAAACGAGAATCGAGCGTGCAAGAGTTGGGTGAGATTGCTTAGTGTTTGCCCAAACGAGAATCGAGCGTGCAAGAGTTGGGTGAGATTGCTTAGTGTTTGCCCGAACGAGAATCGAGCGTGCAAGAGTTGGGTGAGATTGCTTAGTGTTTGCCCGAACGAGAATCGAGCGTGCAAGAGTTGGGTGAGATTGCTTAGTGTTTGCCCAACGAGCATCGAGCTTGCAAGAGTTGGCGGTATCATTGCAAAGCTGAGGCGTTTGTCCCTTAGTCATCGGCTGGTCCAACTGGTCTGGACTGGTCACAGGAACAAGCCATGTGCTGCGAAGGCTCAGCGCTGAGCTCCCATCAGGTGTGTTTGGTCTAACCTGAAACCGCCTATCCCCACATTTAAAGGGCGTGTGCCATCTTTTCATGCTTTCACTTATTGTTAAGACGCGTCAGATTTGATCGGTTTAGAAGTTTCTCGGAATCGTTCTGAAAAGTTCAAAATTTGAGTTGAAGTAGCCGCTCAAGCGGGAGAAATCTCACTGAACTCCCTGCTCACCACTTTGAAAGTAATACATTTCATTTGCCCCGTTTTTTTAATGTTCGCGCTCTGTAACTTTTGCAACACAATACTTTGTCAAAATATTGTGCAATAAATCCCACGAAAGCTTGAAGCACTCTTTTTGGAGTAAAATGTATGCAAACATCACGCTATTATCCCGAGAATTCACCGAAACGTTATACCATGGCTATGATTTTTTTTCTTTAGCGTTCAGCATAGTGACCCTGTTCGAAGCGCACTTTGGCTTGGGGAAACGGAGAATTATATGGCCTACAGTGACGTACTGGTTCAAACTTCAAGCAATGCGCTTCTCGGTAATTGGCCCTTACCGCTCGCTGTGGCAATCACAAACGTTAATCTGTACTTATGTTATTCATACCAGAAGAGGCATCACTTTTACGTTCGCAAGCCCGCAATGGGTGGGTAGAAACAGCTCAAAAATAGTACCTCTAACCCGTAACAGCTGACAACGCCCATCAGGAGATTCTGCCGTCGTCATGACGGCGTAGGTCATGACAACTGCAGCTGTCGTGGACTCGGAATAGACTCTGAGGCTGCCCAGAATGGAAAATGTGCAGTGCTGTTATAAAGCGTTGAGAAGTAATTTTGACTAACAATAATTAAAATCTATATCCCTATTACGTCTTGATGGTGCTGCAGCGGCACTACATTATGTTATATAATAGGTAAATTGCCCTGAGGTTTTACCAGAGCAGGTTGTTGAAATATGACCCATAGGTGAGACGCTCCCTTTAGCGAAAACGTGTGAGGTGGTTTTGCGGCATCTTTTTGCTTTATACAGCTGTGAATATCATCATAATGCTATGGACAGGTACCGTATCCTATTCACAGCGATGCTTCATCCAATAGATGAGTTTAAGTCCCGATGATAATGGCCATGTCCGTGAGCACAAGGATGCGCGCGCCAACGAAAGCCCCGATCACGATGATGTGTATTACTCTGTCTGCAGACTATGAATACGTGACTGAATGCAAACGTAGATAGATAATGCACAGGGACTTCGTTTAAACGGAATCTATGCTACGAAAAGAGACAGTGGCGGGTGACCCACGTATGCCAATGGCAAGGACATAGTCCGTACATGCGTACGAAAGTGGGGCGTAATTGTTTGGAAAGGCATGTAAAAATGCCAAATCGATTCAAACACCACGTTAGAGCTTGAAGAAATGGGCCTATGATTTCAATTCCAATAACCATTTAAACCCACAGTTGCCGACATACGTCGTGCCCCGCTATACTTAATTCGTTCATAGCGTTGCAGATAAAAATGTTTTTTACATACTTTCCGAAGGCGACGCTCCCTCTTTCCGTCGAACAGTTCTACTTCTTTAAGCCGAGTAAGCGGCAAAACATAAGCAACAGACGACATGCCGTCCAAGAGGCACACTTGCGCCAAGTTAGATCACCTCCTCAATCATCACGATGCCGACGACTGACGAGGCTGCACACTTTGCTATGGCATTAGATATTCAAGTCGCAGCATACGGCTCCACAAAAATCGCGTGGCAGAGCTCGCGGGCGGGAGCGTTCAACAGACCGGCAACAGACCCACAGACAAGACTCAAGGGCAGCGAAATCTGTCGGAGCCCGGCACCCGCAGCTCAAGCTTTATCTCAGACGCCAGCCCCTGATCCGCCGGCGGCGGCCGAGCGGTCGGCACCCAAAGCCCTGAAGGCGTTCTCGAGCCGGGGCGAGCACGGCGGCCGGCGCCGGCGCCCTCTCGGCGCTGAATTATTGCCGCGTCCGGCGGTGATCTTCGCCGACAGGCGGACTCTGATGGACTGGCCCCCCGCGGCGACGCCGGCGGCCGGAGACCGGGCCTGGCTAGACGGCGCGGCCGCGGCAGACAGCGGCTAATCGGGGTGATGCATGTGTGACCGCCGGTCTGGCTCTGTACTCACCGCCCGTATGAAGATTGGGAGTACACGGGCCTGGCTCTGTACTTGCCGCCCGTATGGAGATTGGGAATGCACGGACCTGACTCTGTCCTCGCCGTTCGTATGGAAATTGGGGGTACATGGACCTGGCTCTGTACTCACCGCCCGTATGAAGATTGGGAGTGTGTGGGCCTGACTCTGTACTCACTGCCCACATGAGGATTGGGAGTACGCGGACCCAGCTCTGCACCAACGCGTGTAGACACTGAGAGCCTGCCGACCCTGCTTCGTACTGACGCGTGCACTGACTGACCTGATGACGACACGCTCGAAAGTCAAAGATGACATTTCAGTAAAAATGATGTATGTCAAATCGGCCATTTTGTGAACTGCTTCCACATGCAAACTTCTGTGACGCCAGCGGTGATAAAGCTGCTGCCGTAATAAAACAGCCATACTGCCGGTGTCAGCCTCCGGAAGACCTACGTACTTTCTCTTATGCATGACGAAGCTCGCCTTCTTCTGAATCGATAGACGAACCCAGCGGTATATAAACTGGATATGGCGATGGATGGCAAGGCGAGGGATGGCGAGGATGAGAGGATGGCGAGGATGAGACACACACTTCTGGACTAAATATCACACACACACACACACACACACACGCACGCACGCACGCACGCACGCACGCACGCACGCACGCACGCACGCACGCACGCACGCACGCACGCACGCACGCACGCACGCACGCACACACACACACACACACACACACACACACACACACACACACACACACACAC